TGGCTGTGGATCGGCGTTTTGGTTTTGCGGGTGCTGCTGCCGTGCTGGTGCTGGTGATGGTGCCTGACACATCGATCGTTTCCTGTATAATGCCAGGGCCAGGGTGAAATCATGTCACGCAAGAAGGGATGACATCATGTCATGCCATGCATGACATCGTGGCATGCGGGGTGACATCATGCAGTGGCATGCCAGGTATGACATCACGTCATGCCAGGGATGACATCATGGCATAGATGACATCATGTCAGTCTGTGTTGGGCAAAGCGGGCGCATTCTGGACTGGTCTGATGTTGCATGCTGCGATGACAGCCGTCCGTCACTTGAGCCTATGCACCCGCTATCTGGAGTCTATGCCGGTGTAATTTTAGACAAATTTACTTTTCTATTTATATATATATATATGAAAGAGAGAGAGAGAGATCTTGTTTGCTATGTTTGAGGATGCTCTATGAAGGTCAGCAAAACTCACAAGCACCAAATGACAGACCCGACAAATCCTGACAAGTACAACTCTCATAGTGTCATAGAGTCATAGAAACTGTTCAAAAACGTGTGCGCATTCAGCTTTGTGTTCTTCGTTGCTGGATTCTGGCATTGCTCAGCTCAGTCCTGCTGTTGTGGATACCAAGGTGATTTCCAATGCAAAGGTCAACTTCAACGCCTCCTTGAACAGCACATGTAGTCTTGGAAGGGACACGCATCGATGTGCCGGTATTTGCTGGACTACACGGTCAATTTGTACAGTGCTGGTCGCACCTTGCACATTGTTCATGAAGCTGATGTTCATGAAACTGTTGCCCGCCCGTGCAACATCCCACAAGAACAGGCCAATCTCTGACACCAGGTTGCAAGTGTCAGCATGTGTAACTTGTTGTAACTTGTCATGTTTGCAGAATCTAAGGAATCTTCACACATAATATTAAGTAGAACCAAGAGTGTTCCTAAGTCCTAAGGCATTCATATTCAATCCCAATGAGTCGAACTGCAAGACATTGTATTCGTTTGGAAGGGTGTTGCTGGTTGATGTTTCTCTGCCTCTTACCCCAAGCCAGGCACCTGGATCAATGGCCTTGATAATGGGTATCGAGGCCTGAGTACTTTCAGGTGATCTGAAAAGAAGAGCTGGACTCAGGACGGGTTGCTCAGGATTGCCAAACATTTCAAGGCTTCAAAAGTTTCCCTAAAAATCCAGGAACCAAATGAATAGCGAATAGCGCGAGCGCTTCTTCAAGGAAGCTCCCCCTGGGCGCCTTTAGAGCGGCTGGGGGAGCTTCCTTTTTGCTCTCTAGCCGGACGAAGTGTCTTCGGCGGCCGTTGGGCTTCCGCGCCAAGGCCTAAGTTCCTACCTTCGGACAGTCGACCTACAAAAGCAAGTCAAAAGGAATGGCCCATGAGGCCGGCGAGGCCTTTGCCCCGCGCTCAAAGGCTCTGCAGAGAAGCTCTAGGGTGGCGTTGTCGACGTATGCCTCAGCGCCTATGAAGGCGCCTTTTGGAAAAGTGCGCCCGTTGCACTTATTGCCCTTGTCAAGCAGGAGTGGAGCACAAACAACACCTAACGATTTGCAACGCGAGATTGCCGCCCTGATGATGGCTGCATATGCTTGAACAGTACAGATCGTTCCAGCAGGTAGCTCAAACCGCCAGCCTTGTAAAAAAGCAAAGGCTGAGAGCTCAAAAACTGAGCATGCCGTTCCTTCTCCCAGCCTCCAGCGAAGAGTGTTACTGAACTGCAGAAAGGTGCGAAAATTTGCGCCGGACAATTGAGGTCGACTCCTGAAAGCCATGTCAACATCGTTATTTACTTGCCACGGGAACTCAGCTGGTATGGCATCCCATATCCATCGAGGGAATTGCTCTCGCGGTGGAACTCTCCGGCAAACTTCACGCTCCAGAGGTGGCCCAACAGGGGCCTCAGGGGCCTCTTTCTTGCAAACTCGATTCAGCTTAGCAAGCCAGAGTTGTCTGGCAAAAACATCCTGTTCTTTGAGACGAAGGTCAGCCTGGATTTGAACTGAGATCTGATCAATATGCTGCTTGGCATGCCAGTCAGCCAGCCTATTCAGAATAATATTCTGCCTAGTGGAGCCAGCTGCAATGGCAAGTTCATCAGTGAGCTCAGTAACAGGGACGTGTTCTAGCAAGTGTGCAGGACACCAAGCCAATTGAAGAGGTTGATCCGAAAAGCCCCCACGTTGATGAAGCAAGGTATGCAGAAAGCCCCACCATGAAGTGTGGGTCCACTCAACTTGGACACAGTCAATCCTGAACTGGTTCACCACGGTAAGAGAGTCTGTATGCACCGCAAGTGGTTGCTCTGCCATGGCAAAGGCAACCAGAACTGCCCAGAGCTCGGCACTGTAGCTAGAAAGTCGCCAATGGCGAACCTGGCCGGCGGCCAGTAACTGTTCATCGTCAGTCACCACGGCAAAGGATGCCAGCGTGAGCCAAGGGTGGCGGGATAGTTGTACTGAACCGTCAGTCCAGACATGCTTCACAGGCAAGAGAGGCTGGGCCCACTCAACAACCGAGATATCAGAAGGTTGAGACACCTGTAGCTTAGCCCGGACAACCTCAAGGGGGAGCTCAGTGATCCCCAACATGTCAAAGTTTGGGCCCCCAGGGAGACGAGCGACGCTGGTTGTTGTAAATCAGCAGGTAGTGCTTGACATTCCTCCACAAAGTGCTGCATGGACTCCTTAGAAGAATGGCAGAACCTGCACAGAGGGTCATCAACAAGTCCTGCGGCTGCAAGCCGGTCTGCCGTAAGCGTGCAGCCGGTGATGGCGCTCTCCCAGTGGAACAGAAAGGAGAACTAACTTTTCGTTTGGAATACAGGCAATCTTTTTTCTGGCCGAGAGTGTAAGCCCCAAATCCAGAAAGCCCAGAGCTTTGTGGATGTCCTTCCGTGGCATGAGGCAAGCAACGGAGTAACACTTGTGCGCTGCCAGACTCTTCAGGATACACTTGAGGTCAGCTGCAGAGAACTCCAAAAAGTGAACTTCAGGTGCACCAAGAACAGAGAGTCCAAAATTGCTAGACCACTCAATGTCCAGAATTTGGCAGGCTTGTGCAAATTGCGACATCCATGCTTGCGGCGTAAACTGGTCTTGCTCAAACATTGAGGGCCAACATTGCCGTGCATACCTTGAGGTACGAAGAAAGCGGGCAGATTCAATGATGGCGGCGACGGCACGAAAGAGGAAGGGATCCAACTTGTGGGCCTTGTGCACAACACAGAGTAGCAGGTGCTTGGAGCGCCACTTTGGCCTGTCTTGCCAAATGGCATCTGCTATGGCACTTTGTAGCCTGGCCAGTAGCCGTTTCGGGATAAAGTTCAATTGAGGAGCAAAGGCAACTTGTGGCAAAACCTTCACGGACAAGATCTGTGCTCGTTTGCTGCCATCGCAAGGAAGGGACCGAATCGCCTCGCAATCCCTTAATGCGGTCTGCAGCTTGGTAACTGGAAAGCTCCCAACATTCTTCCGTGTTGTTTGGACATGGGCCCCCAGGATGTTCACAACCTCAACAAGACGCATCTGCGGGAAAGCATGCTTGAGGGCCCTCCGTAGTGGGGCACTGGATGCAAAAAGCTCGCGTTTGCCTGCATTCAGAAACTGGCCACATAGGGAATCCCAGAGCTCAGTGGCTCGAACTGCAGCGACCAAACTGTCAATGGAAGGCAGCCGAGTCCACAGGTAGGTGTCGTCAATGAAGGCTCTGAAGTCAACTCCGTCAATGCATGAAACCAGCCAGGCCCAGATTGCCATATGGATATTTATGCAGAGCAGGCTGAGTGAACATCCTTGCGCAACGCCATTAGGTGTGGATATGGCCTGAGCACGAGTCCATTGTTTGAACGATAGAAATCTAGTCATACGGGTGTAGAGGCTCAAGAAACCGCAAACAAAGCTCTTGGGGAGCCCAAGCGTGAGCATGATGGCGGCGCAAAGCTTTGGCATTAATCGGTCGAAGCACTTAGCTTTGTCCAACTTCAAGGCTGCAAAGGATCCGTTATGGCAGTGCGCCCGATCAATTTCCATCTGGATGGTCATATGGACCTCTGACATCAAACGCCCTTTGATGCCCCCTGTCAGCTGTGGGGGCATCACCTCTTGCTGCCACTGTTGTAGCTGCAGGAAGCGAAGACCAGTGTAAAGAAGCGTAAACACAGATTGAAGGGAGATCAAACGCTTGGAGAGCGGAGCATCACTTCCATCTTTGTTGTGAATAACCATCCGAACCTGCGTGAGGATGGTCGGAAATTCCTCCGAACCTGCCTCAATGGCATTGAAGAGAGCAGCCACCGGCCGAAAGGCAGCAGGTGGGAGGGCTTGCACCTCCCTGGTTTGCCATGCATCCATGCCTGCTGCTGCATCAGGGCGCCGCTTGGCTGCTTGTCGCCAAAGTTGCTCCTCACTAATGGGCGGCAAGAGGATAGACTTCCCTTTGTCGTGAATGTAAGGCCATACCTGTTGCAAGATTTTCATCTCGTGCTGATGGCAGGTGTTGACCGCAAAGACAGTATCCCATCTGTCTGCAATGACATCCATTGCCACCTGGGGGTCATAGATGATGTTTTCAAGAAGGTTGGCAGGAACAACCCTGCCTTTCTTCTTGAGGTATTGGTACACAATCTTCCCAATCATGGGCGATTGAGTGGCCTGTTTCATGGCGCACCTCCATTTTTGAATCGCTGCTAGCTTAATATGTTTCATCTCATCCCTGATGGCATTCAGTGTGACTTCGACCAAATGTGGGATGTCATGGACGAAAACTTGACGGACAGCAAAGGGCACCAGTTTGGCAACTTTCAGTCTACGTGGCAGCCGATGTTGAGTGTTGCGAAAGGTGCGCTCATCTCTGGCCCGGATATTACTCTGTTGAATCGCTGCTCAAGCTCACGGAGAGAGCGCAGGGCAGACTGCAGCAGAAGAAGATGCGGGGAGGCCAACGCACCATTGAGCTCTTGATCAGCATAGACCTGAACTTTCTGGAATTTAGGTGTCTTTCCACGAACTCGAGGGCCTTTGCCCCAACTAGCTCCATTGAGGAGGAGGAGGAGTTTGACAGCATTACTCATTGTAGACTTGCCACTTCGTGTCTGCATCAGGTGCATTGTCAAAGGCGGTGGCACAGTTATTCCAGAGTTGCTCACTGAAACAGTTGACAGGGCAGCCAGGGTCCTCAGGATCAGCCTTCATGACCTGGTCCAGATTGAGACGTGCAGCTCGTTGCATAACTGTTCCCACCTGGTGGATTCTGTCCCACATGAAGGTGGCTTTGACAGGCCTATGCTGACGATCTCGATGATCCAAAACCTCAATGTGGAGTAATGCCGTGAGGGCCGTGCGATTCACCAGAATACCGTCAATCGAAGATTGCCCCTTGAAGTTGCAAGTCCTCCCATTTGCTCTGCTTGACTGACTTCTTTTTGCTCTTCCACGGATCGTCCAATTGCCATGGATCAGCAACTTGCATGGCTGAGTCAGAGCTGACTTCTCCCTCCATCCCACCTAACGATACAGCAGAGCAGGGTTGAAGAAGGTGTACTCCTCCAACCAGAAGGAAAAGGCGCCGGATGTTCTCAGCAAAAGCACGTAGCATCGGTGGGGCCCCGGCATGCCGCCATGCTTGATCAGACTCGGTGATCACCATGTCAATAATCTGCCGCTTGGGGTTCGGAACATGGAAGGCATCAGGAAGACGGATGTCAGCAACAACCCACCGATGAAGGAGCTCCCAGCCACACATACCCGGTCGGGTCCGATTTGTATCAATGATGATGATGGGCCGGAACCCAAACGGAATGATGTAGTCCACAGCAAAGTCATGCCAGAATTGCTGGTCCTGCGGCGGCTTGCAAAAAGACTGTGCGGCAGGTATGCTCCTGCTCATTGCAGACAACCTCAATGCCAATCCAGTGCCCTTCACGAAGGGCTACAAACCGTTGAACCTCATCACATGGTATCTTGACTCCTCCAGCAATCAAGGACAGATCATGATGTAAGACCGGTGGGCAAAAGGATTCAGGCATGAAGAAACTCATAGCAAACTCAATTTCATCACTTGTGGCCCACCCGGGGTGGGTAC